TTGATGTAGAACTAGCAGCACAAGGAGCCCGTGTTTCTACCTCGGTCAAAGGAGAGTTTCCACCCATCTATACAGTCTCGCTTTCCACTGTATCTGAAGTCGAGTTATCATCTAAATTATTTGATATTGGAGCCATGTCAGTTCTACTATCTTCTGAAATCTCAAGATAATCCATCATGCGCGATACAGTCGTGGTACCCGGGTCAACCTCTCTACGAACTTCAAGGCCAGGGTCACAGATTGAAATGTTGCGAGCAAAGTCAACCTCTCTATGAACTTCAGTGCCGGGTTCAGGCGTTGAAATGTTGCGAGTAAACAATATCTCCTTCCAGCCTCTTGTGCTCTTTGTTATGGACTCTTTGTATCTGGGGAAAAAGAAAAGGCACATAGCACATGGATTCGTCAAGAAAAAAATTACTCCTCTGCCCTAGACAGAAATCCTTTTGGGAGTCAAAAGTATTTATAAGTGTTTTGGTTGAGTATAAAGATTTAATATCTGCACTACCCCTCCAAACTTTTTGCTCCTTTTGTTCTTATTCTTTTTATGATTCTAGTCAAGTTGAAGGGCGATGACTAGCACGCATACTTCAAATCTCAAACTGGAAGCTAAGAGCATGTTTGTGAAATGTTTATAAACAGTTTAAATTATAAATGAATAGTAAATAAGTGGATAGTACTCGTGAATCCCTCGAAATGTGCGGATAAAAAGTGGCTTGGCACATCCAGGAAACTTAACATGACACTAACATAACGCTACGGGAGTAAATAACAAGTAGCCCAGTTTTATGCTACCTCACAGATAATGCACTTAGTCGAGATTTCAAAGTCTCAGAAAATGACTGGAAATCTGATGGTCCAGCTCTATCTTGACTATTGGAGGAAGTCTGAGCAGGAGACCTCCTACAAGATAACATAACAAACAAGCTGCAATGAACAGCAAACTAATCGCATAGCCAACTCCTTGAGGGAGTCGTAAAACTTGAAACAAAGATCAAAGATATACCAATTGCTCGAGGAAGTTCCAAGTTGATTAGCAACAGCACCTGATCCTGATGCTGTAGTGATGTGGTCAGCTAGGGAGAAAGATTGTGGGGTAACAAGCTGTGCAGAATATTCTCCAAGGGTAATAAATGGTGAATTCGGGCTAGCTATCATGGCTGCAGGAAGTGGTCCAGGACCACCTCTCTGAGCGGGAGATAAAGCAGGCGAATTAGCAGAAGTTGGATTTGGATTACTTGAGAACGCCAAAAATTGGGGACGACCATGAGTAGAAGACCTACTCCTCTGACCTTCCCTCCTGGCAAGCTGACGAGCCCTTCCCATCGCAGCAGCAGCAGCTAAATGCTGAATGATGCGCTCTTCAAGTTCAGAATCACTTGCACTAACAGGTACCTGCAACAAGTTGAAGAAAAAATCATATTACCTGATCTAGACATCAAAATTAGGTCACTAAATTGA